AAGATGGCTGCTGTGCCGCATCAACTGATAATCATCTCTGCTTACCAGAACCGCTTTCCTAGAACTGTACTCCACAGAGACTCACCTACAACTGCAGAACTACACGAGACACCCTTGATCCAACCTTGAATGGAATCTATGTTCCCTATTGTTGAAAACTTTAAACTTGTGGCCCCTCTCCCTTTACTTACATGTAGCACATTTTCAATAACTCCCCTGGAAGACAACTGTATATAGCAGAGGTAGTGTAATGGGAGAGTGGGAAAGGGCAGAGGGTCAACATAGGATAAAAAACATATATATATGTATACATATGTATGAAAGTAGAAATGGAATATTATTGATGATAACATGCTTGATTAAGCCACTATGCAGTTTATCCTAGATGGGAAACCACATTTAGTATGTTGTGATGATGCTCAGGGAAAGAATGTTAGGTAATATAAAAAAAAAAAAAAAAAAAACCTCCAATTGTTTTGGGAAAATAAGAAAATAGAATTTATGGGTAGAACACCTGTCCAACCATTTTTTTTGAGAGGTTTTCACTATAGGGCACGTGCGCTCACCAGACAGACAGAGAGAGACAGAGAGACAGAAAGTGAGAAATCACCCCCCAGTGGGGATGGTCACGCCACAATCCCTTCTCCTCCATTCTCCTCTCAGGATCTTGGGCATGCACACACACGCACCCGGTGTGAGTTTTAAGCCACCGGGTCCGGGACACGAACCGTGGTCGACTACGTGGGAGTCCAGCAACATAACCATTACGCTAACTGCTGGTTCCAAACTAAAACCATTTTTAAAGTAAAAAAAAAAAAAAAAAAATGAGATATGGTCAGACTGCAATCCTTTTTCCCTTTTTCCTTCCGGTTGTATTTTGGGCATGCACATACATGGTTTTTCAAGCCACCAGGGCAGAAATTTGCTCTGTGCTGATGCCATGTAAAATCCAGCTCCCTTGGCCACTAGACCCTGGGGCAAGCCCCTATCTAGGTTTTCTTTATAGCATTGATTTTTTTTTTTAAAAATCTTAAATCTTCACCAACAAAGTATCTCATAGTACATATCAGACAGTGTTCCCCAACCTTCTCGGCAT